AAAAGATTCCTTCGTGGTACTGACAGAAATCAGTATAAAAAGTCTTAAAAACTTACCTGAAAATTTAAACTTGGCGATCGATTTTTGAAGCAGATGTCGGTCAATAACAGAAATGTACGAAATAAGGACAAATGAACGCGTTTAAAAGTTTAGAATTGATAATAAAGACTCCGTCTATTTACATGAAACGTTTGAGACACTAAAAGGCCGTCTGACGGACTTGCTTTTTGTTAACTAATCAAACGTTGGTTTCCATGATCATGTTCACAAATATCCATATTTGGATTTGCCTTGTCTTAAAAAGAAGCCAAGGCTCACTATATGAATGCTGGGGCGTAGTCATGCCACTTACAAAACATGAGTCATAAACAGAGTAGATACCAGAAGTAATGATACTAAAACAGTGTAGGTTTATGATATTAAACAATTCAATTTTAAATCTGCGAACAAAAGCTTTTATCAATTATTGCTGTTTAGTAAATTTGACTGAACACAAGAAAGGCAAAGAAAAGTGACATTTCTGTTCAGGGGATTACGGGTTCATTTACGAAAGTGTCATTGATGAACAATAAGCTACATTAAAAATAGACATTTTAAGATATCGAATATTAATCAAGATAAACTGGACAAAACAAGAACAAATTAAGGAAACTCTACTGAAAATTTTGGATGAATTAAATAATTATTGTCTATGGAATATTGCGGTTAATACTGTCAAAAAAGACGACTAACATCAATTTCACCGGTAAGAACATTTTTTTTTGGCAAAACTGATACTTTTATCATCATTGCCGTTCTAATTTTTTTCAACAACAAAGCGTAAACCGAAATTCAAATTATCGTTTTATTTACTTACCATTTGGGGTGAACTGCAAAATGTTTTATATTTATGTCAAATCATTTACGTTTTTCTGGTTTGGTCGCTAATACATTAACCAGACTCCCGTTGATATTGTTACTGCATTGAAAAAGCTAAGAGTTCCTATACATAACTCAGTAAATCGTCTGTGAATACTCGATGTTTCGGGAATCCCAAGGCGATTTCCCATTACAGAAACGCGCTCATTGATAAACGTCGAATTAGTTCTGGTTTTGTACTCACCAAATTTAGAAGCTTAAAATTACAGTAAATTTCCGCCTACGAGTGACGGTTTCAAATTTTACCCTAGAAAAAACTTCCACAGCTGATGAAATTTTCTAGATATTTCAGTAATTGTTAGATTGAATTTACAAAACAATTTTCGAACTCATTATTTTTTAGGCTACACAATTGCAAAACATAGCTTTCCCACTAGAAGTTTGAAAATCTCAAGCCTAATTGGCGACTATACGCCAAAACTAACTTTGTTGAGATGTTACCAAAATTTCGGTCTGTTATGCTTAAGCTTTCGAATTCAATGAAGAGCTCTTGAGTTTAGGGCACAATGTTTTGAAGAAAATACAGAGATATTTCTCTGTGCTAATTTAAAGCTCTCAAAATTGATTAGCTGTAGAAAAAATAGTAAGGCTTAATATCAAACAAGAGTGAAACATCGTATTACAAAGCTAACTCCGACAGTTAATTCAATAAGAAGAACAGTGTGACAAGAGAACATGTTCTCTTGCAGTATGGTTGTTTCAAGTGAACCTAGGATTTCCAGAGGATCGGGGAAAAGTTCCATGAAATGGAGACTTCACCATTTACTATATAGAACAGTGATTAGGCGAAAAAGAAATCCCAAATCCAAATCTGATCTAAAGAATCGTTTCGATTTCCCTGCTTTGGAATAATCTCATCTTACATATATTAGTGGCATGAATATCTACTCGACTAGCTAGTGGCTAATCGGTATCCATTCAACGTTGAATTTTGTTTACTAGATACATGTATGACCATGGACAGTAGAGGCTTACACGAGTAAGGCTAGATGATACACTTTGCAAACATCGAGGAGTAATCAGGGCAAGTAGCGAATCACCGCCGCCGTATCTAGTGCGAACGTGAGTCATAAAAGTAGTGTTTTAATAGGATAATAAACTCTGCGAACCAACAAAACCAACAGCATGGTTAAACGATCAGGCAAACGGTTATAATGGTGGACGTAAATGATAAATTCGAAATAGTGAATTTACAGAAAATTGATATCTACAACTACTGATTATTAACACGACCAATAAAATGATAACAAAAAATTGTGTTCAACACAGCGACACATAAAAGATCCGTAATGAAAAGCAATTGACATGTAGAGTAATGTAGCGATTTGATACCAAGCTTTTATTATTCACTTTTACAGATCGACAAGCTTGTTAATTTATCGAGCTACAAAACCAAAATCGACGTTTTAAAAAAGCTTAAAAATTATTTGTCTCTTACTTACAGAGGAAACTTAATGAATATGTTCCACAAGGGTTCTTTATACAGGGGAACCCAACGACGATTTCCTCCTAAATACATTAAAACTAAACACTTTTTGGGCTATCCATGCAGAGTACTGCATTCTAAGCGGGGCTATGAAAATTTGTGTACCTGTTCGCTCAGCGTAGGGGAACTTAAGCCTTTTTGAAATTACAAGCCGACTTTTCTGGGCTTCAGTATTGTTTTCCCGATAATTTAAGAGGCAATTTAACGTATTACAAAAATGGGAATTTTTCTGATTCCTATCTCCATCATATTTTTCAATCCCAAAATTTTAGTTTTCCTTTTTTATACGAAAAAACCTAGGAAGTGAAATGTGAAAAAGTAAGCTTCAGAAAACCGTAAGGAATTTATTAGATAACCTTCGGAAATGGTGCATGACTGAATGCAACGTTCACCTTGAGGTTTTTATCCGTTTACAAGTAATAGAAAATTCTAGGCCAGTATTTGCTTCTCCGAACAGATAGTTTACAGAAACAGTTGTTGGGTGCCCCTATTTACATAACACTCTTCATACAGAAAAAAGCCGAGGTTGTTTCTTAACTGACCATACAGTTGTTCAGAGACAACCAAAAACTGACAGAACAAATGACTTGAAAATACAGAAACTGTTTGTTTTCTGAGAGGACGTCTTTAGTGCGTCTGAAAAATAAAAAAAGTCAAGCAAATTCTTGATCAAGATGCACGAAGCATGAACCGGTGCTGCACGCCACAAATGGTGAATGATCGAGCGACTGTTTAAGATCTGGTTACACAGACATAATTTACTAATTTACTTGGAATTAGAATTGACCAGAATGGCCAATCGCCACTACGACTGAAAATGAGGATAACAATTTACCACTCTTTCAATTCGAGGTCAGTTTAGGCAAATAATTTCTATAAGAGTGATATCATCTCGCGATATCTCACACTGCAACTTTTCTTTCAATTGTATAGTTATACCCTGGGTTATATATGAATAATCGCAGCTGTAATCGCGCTGGATTAAAAAAAACCAAGATCAACACCAATTTATTTCTAGTAAAAGTTGTGATCTCTTGGTTACAATGATGTTGTAAGAAACAAATATGTACAGTACTTTCCAAAATTATGCAAAGAAGCCTTTCATTGGGCGCATTGATTTCTTAGCAACCTAATATTTCGGAAGCGAATGAAATTGTAAATTGTTTAATTGAAATTAGAATACATACGTAGGCTGTTTAGTGAGCATGTTTTGACGAGAAACTTATTCAAACAAGGAAATGCTATGATTCAATCCTTAGCAGAGTGTTGGTATGTACAGTGCTCGAAGCTTTCTCGTTTTTCTCTAGCTTTATTTAAATTATGCTTTTTGATTCCACGTTTCTTATTTCACTTCTTTCTTCAAGTTCTCACAACTTTCATGAAGACAGATTACCAGATGAGGAATGAAAACATATGTCACACAAGGTAAATCATATATACGCCACTCTTTCTCTTATCTCCTCTTCCCATAATAATTTGTGTTGTTTCTAAAACATATTCCAAGAACATAGATCAGAGTAGGAATCATATGACTCTCCAATATATAATGCATAGAACGATTTAAGCGGGTAAAATGTTAATAAGCAGCATTTAACAATAATTTACCATGGTAAAAAAAGAAAGGATTTTTAGAGTCCAGTGATAGTATAAAACTTGATTCATGTTAAGCCTCTTTATCAAACAATTCTGAATATAGTTCAGAATTATTGCAACATTGCTCATTTGGATATACCGTTGTGTTGATCATGGCCTCTGCGAAGAGAAATTTTCAAATTCGTATGTGGACAAATTCTGTGCTTTATTAATTCTGGATACAAAAATGAACAGCGGAAGAACTTGTAATAGCTTGTAACTGTAATTTCTTTTTCTCTTGTTCTTCTAACTGCTCATAATTGTACTTTGCTTGGGTTAACATTAATAATATAGTATAAAAAAAAATCCATATTTCACCAACGACAGATGATGCTAAGACTCAGTCTTGCAAACTGTACTCAGAATAATTTTTTTCACTGCACAAAAAGGTGATGAGTTGACGGCCATCCTACTAAAGCTACAGCAAAAGATCAAAAGTTCGCACGGCAGTTAAAGGACAAAATTGAGCAATACTTAAGGATAGATCTTACACGAGATAAAATTTAATAACTGTAATTTATGGTGTTGTGGCTGATAGATCCTCGGCTATGGAACAAAATCATGATCTGCACAGGAACTCAGTTGCCGAAAAAACACAAAACACGAATTTCCTCATGTTAAGCCACACAAACCAATCAACATGTTCGACGTCTTTTACGCGCGAATCGTAATAACTGGGCCATGATTTCGTTAAAACTTGTTTTAAAAACGTGAAAAGTTAAGTAATTATTGCAAAAGAGATAAATTAACCCCTCGCGGTAATCATTGCTATCTTTTTGCATTGGCAATTGTGAAAGAAGGTAAGAGTGAACTTCAAAAGACGCTATAACAGTCCTCAAGACTCCATAGCATTCAAGCCGTTCATTTTTCCAAGGCATATCTTAAGCATGAAATATTTCGTTAATCTTATTATTGTAATTTTAATTGAACTAACCAAAATATGTCATACCATGATCAAACGTTTAGTGCACAAGTTAGAAGACCTTGATGATGCGATCACGAGTTAAAATGACCACCATGTTGTTTGTACTGATTTTATCGCTCATGACCGCTTTCTGCTCCAGCAAGAACAACAAACAATCCAAGAGAGACACCAAGGTAACTACATTCATTCATCAGGGTCACTACACATTTTTTAACACAGCTGATGTTAAATTGTGGAGAAAACTAGGAATAACGTATCGTGTGTTAATTTTACTAAATCCGTCTTGCCGATTATATTAAGAAATGCTCAAAAGGCTTTCAATAACTAAGATGGTATGGTTACTTGAATGAGCAACCGATCTCTTTTCATAGAGAAAGAGAATTTTCACGTTTAAAACAATCAAAAGTAACATTATTACTAACGTGTTAAATACTATAATACATCTTCTTTTCTGAAAGATGAATTTCTTTAATCACAATTCACGCGTTCATCTAAGAAACCCAAATTAAAACTTACAAATTAAGGAAATCAGTAAGCACTTCCCCACCGAGATTTAAACGCTAGATGACAGACAAAATTGCCCAAAGTTAATTGCATTTTGTCATTAAATTTCTCCTTTTTTTGCAGCCTATTCAATCTTGTCCATCTTGTAATAATGACGGACAAACCGGGATGTGGACATACAGGACGTGTGTCCCAGGAGCCCCTGGGGCACGTGGTCGAGATGGAGCCAAAGGAGACCTGGGTAGCCCGGGGAAAACTGGGACCATAGGACCACGTGGTGCTGACGGAAAGAAAGGAGCAAAGGGAGAGCCTGGGATCCAGGGTTCAAGCGGACAAAAAGGAGAGCAAGGGAACAAAGGCGACAGTGGAACGCCACAGCTGGCTGCACACATGAACTGGAAGGAGTGTGCTTGGAAAAAAGGAGACAGCAAAGATTCAGGAGTGATATATGTGAGTGAGCACCGTACCGTAATCTACGACTAGGGGTACCTTCCGGCAAGTGCCAAAGAGGCGAATTCGTTTATCCATTGTGGAATGTGTGGGATTAGCCCTTAATCCTTTTACTTAGCAACCGCGCTCGACTTATATATCCTGATATGATTGTACAATAGTTCAGTTGACCTTAGGCCTTGCTCATGTAATCTCCTTTAACAATTAAATTGTATAACCTTGAATGTATACTTGGCCTCCACTCTTCGTTTCGCCTCCGATAATCGCACATGGTGTCAGAAGCGGGATACTACAGCAGGAAGAAGAAGTAGCGGAAAAGAAGTTTGTTTCGCCACTGTATTTCACATCGCGTGAATGAATTCCAACGCTGAAGGTCCAAACGAAGAAAGAATCGAGGAAACAAGCACGCCAAGCACGCCAGTCATGTCACCGCCCACACCCGCAGAGGCATCGAGGTTAACGGGCTCAATACAGACGAATAACCCACAAGGTGGAAGCGTGAAAATGGCCGCAGCCAATTTTAATATTCCTCCTCCGGCTAAGTTTGATCCCATAACAGACGATTGGGACCACTGGATCAAGCGATATGAATTATTTGAAGCAGCTACGGAACGTGATGAGCTGTCAGATAAAGTGCGCATCAACACGCTTATTTACGTAATGGGAAATAATGCCGCCGACATTTATGACAGTTTCAAACTGATAGGGGAAGATATCCTGTACGCAAATGTCAAACAAAAATTCAAGGATCATTTTAAAGGAAAAGTCGCTTTAGTCTTCGAGAGAACACAGTTCGTAAGACGCTTTCAGCAAGACAAAGAATCTGTCCTCACCTTTATAGAAGACCTTCAGAAAAGAGCCGACCTTTGCTCTTTTGGGGACCTTCGTGACCAAATGGTGCACACTCAAATAATAGCTGGTTTGCGTGATTCTCATCTCAGGCGACGATTGATGGCAAATGACAATTTAACTCTGGATCAAGTAATTAAAGAAGTTAAATCCGCCGAAATCACGAAACATCAAGATCAAATTCTTCAAAACAACTCAAGTGCCGCCGACATATCGGAAGTACATGACAGGAAAGTTCCAGAAAACAAACGTCGAAGTCCAAAACCCAAGCATTTTGGAGGTTCTTCGAAAACGAAGCAAAAATCGTGTTACAGATGCGGAGCTCAGCCAGGTCACCCTCCTCAGCGTTGCCCAGCCAAAGATGCTACCTGCAACGCGTGCAACAAAAAGGGTCATTATTCCAAGGTCTGCAAATCTTCAAAACGAGTCCATAGGGTTGGTGAAGATTCGGACGAAGATGATATCTCTGTAATGACCGTCAATGAAGTTGTCAACACAATCGAAACATCAGAGAAATGGCGTACAAATCTATTAATAGGAAACTCCGAAATAAATTTCAAGATTGATACCGGCGCGGATGTCACAGTTATTCCTGAAGAAGTTTTTCGCCAATGCAACTTAGGAAAACTGCACTCCACCTCCAAAAGACTCTTTGGAGCCGATCACAATGGTCTTCGTGTAATGGGAACAGTTCGTGATACTTTATCCCTGGGAGAAACGTGCGTGACGGAAGATATTTATGTTGTCAAAGGTTTAAAAGAGCCTCTTCTGGGACAGCCAGCGATTGAAAAGCTAAATTTATTGGCTAGAATCAATGAAATCCAAAGTCAAAGTTACGAAGAAAGGATTAAAGCGAAATACCCTCAACTGTTCCATGGACTGGGAGAACTTGAGGGAGAATATGAAATCAAGTTGAAGCCAGACGCTCAACCGTTTGCAATCATGACCCCAAGACGTATTCCATTACCAATGAAAAGCAAAGTAAAGGAAGAACTTGCTAGAATGGAGAAGCTGGGAGTAATCAGAAAGGTTGACAAGCCTACAAACTGGTGCGCTGGAATGGTCACAGTACCTAAATCAAACGGGAAACTCCGAATATGTGTGGATCTGACAAAGCTAAATGAAAACGTTTGCCGTGAAACGTATCCTCTTCCAAAGATTGACGCCTTGCTAGGAGAGATTGGAGAGTCCACAGTGTTCACAAAAATTGACGCAAATTCCGGTTTTTGGCAGGAGAAGCTAGCAGAAAACTCTCAACTCCTGACTACGTTTCTGACTCCCTTTGGCAGATATTGTTTTCAGCGACTCCCCTTTGGTTTAAAATCAGCACCAGAACGATTCCAAAAGAGAATGCTAAACGAGCTGGAAGGTTTGGAAGGAGTGATATGCATTATGGATGACATCCTTGTGCATGGAAAGACGCAAAAAGAACACGATGAACGACTTGAAGCAGTTTTAACAAGATTGATCAGAGCAAGAATCACCCTGAACCCAGAGAAGTGCGAATTTTCAAGGAAACAATTGAAGTTCGCGGGCCATAGTCTCAGCGCTCAAGGAATAGGCCCCGATCCAGACAAGACTGCAGCAATCGAAAAGATGGAGAGACCGCAAAATGTTGCAGAACTACGAAGATTCCTGGGTATGATCAACCACCAACAGAAGTTCATCGAAAACCTGTCCGAGAAGACTATGCCTCTTCGCGATCTCCTTTCAAGCAAGAACGAATGGCACTGGGGCCAAGCTCAAGAAGAATCTTTCTCTCGCTTGAAGAAAGAAATGACTCAAGCGCCAGTTCTCGCTCATTACTGCTCCGAGAAAGAAACTATTATATCTGCAGACGCCTCGTCGTATGGATTAGGAGCAGTCCTCTTACAAGTCCAAGAGGATGACACAAAGAAGCCAATCGCGTACGCTTCACGCTCTATGACGTCTACCGAACAAAGATACGCTCAGATAGAGAAAGAAGCACTCGCAACTACTTGGGCTTGCGAAAAGTTTTCCGACTTTGTCCTCGGTAAAGAGTTCCTTATCGAAACGGACCACAAGCCGTTGGTGCCTTTACTAGGATCTAAATGTCTCCAGGACATGCCACCACGTATTCAGAGGTTCCGGATGCGACTTATGCGCTACTCGTACCAAATAGTCCATGTACCCGGAAAAGATCTCACCACAGCTGATACCTTATCAAGAGCGCCGCTTCACCGAAGTCTCACGAAAGACGAGAAGCAACTTAATGAAGATTTAAACCTCTATGTCTCACACATAGTAGAATGCCTGCCAACTACAGAACGCCGCTTGCAAGAAATACGCCTTCATCAGGATGAAGATGAAGTTTGTTCAAAGCTTAAGCTGTTCTGCGGTGAAGGCTGGCCAGAGAAACACCACCTGAATTGTTCACTCCAACCGTACTGGCAGTACAGAGCAGAAATCACTGTTCAGCAGGGAATCCTAATGAAAGACGACAGAGTCATAATTCCCTCAGCGTTAAGGCTCGATGTATTAGACAAGATACACACAGGTCATCAAGGCATCCAGAAATGCCGCGAAAGGGCGAAAAGTGGTGTCTGGTGGCCGAATCTCAGCAAGCAGATAGAAGATCTTGTCAGAGAATGCCCTACTTGCATCAAGACGAAAACTAATCGTGCAGAGCCCATGATTCCTTCACAGTTACCCGAGCGTCCATTCCAGAAAGTAGGAACCGATCTATTCGAATGGAAAGGACAAGAATTCGTCCTCGTGGTAGATTACTTCTCGCGATATTGTGAAATTGGAGTACTTCGAAAATCCACCTCTCAAGAAGTGATCAATCACCTAAAAGCGATTTTCGCGCGCCATGGAATTCCAGAAACCGTGATCTCCGATAACGGACCACAGTATTCCTCAGCGGAATTCGCCAAATTTGCAGAAGACTGGGGATTTACACACATTACCAGCAGTCCAAAATACCCCCAAAGCAACGGAGAAGCCGAACGTATGGTGCAAACAACTAAAAACCTCCTTACCAAATCCGACGATCCATATGAAGCACTACTCGCTTACAGAGCTACCCCACTTGAAAACGGATTCAGCCCAGCCGAATTATGCATGGGAAGGCGACTACGCACCACCCTTCCAACTACCCCATCTAAACTAACACCGCAATGGCCTGAGTTAACGAAATTGCGTGAAAAGGAAGCCAAGATTAAGACCGAGCAAACAAAAGATTACAACCGACGACATGCAGTTAAAGAGCTAAGTCATCTGTCACCAGGCGATCGTGTTTATATCCCTGATCGTAAAGAGAACGCAGTAGTAGTAGCCAAAACACCAGAGCCACGTTCCTATTACCTCGACACTGACAGTAACGCAACGGTTAGAAGAAACAGACGGCAGCTCAATCCAAATCCTAAAGAAGCAAAGTACGCAGCAGGAAGCCCTTTACCCGATCCTCCTGAAACTTTTAAGGGTCAGCCACCTGTTCGGGCAGAGAAGAAAGATGCTTTACGGTCTGCTCAAAAGTCTTCCATTCCAGTTCCCGTTCCTGGAAACACTACTCGTTCCGGAAGAAAAGTTAACCCGCCCAAGAGATTAGGTTTTGATTAGGACTGAAAGAACATTTGTTATAAGTGATTCGTTTCGTGATCGAAATACTTGATTGACTCGCTTCCTATCATTTAAGAACTTTGCACAGAGACATTCTTATAGAAGTACCAAAATGTCTAGAAAGGGGGATGTGGGATTAGCCCTTAATCCTCTTACTTAGCAACCGCGCTCGACTTATATATCCTGATATGATTGTACAATAGTTCAGTTGACCTTAGGCCTTGCTCATGTAATCTCCTTTAACAATTAAATTGTATAACCTTGAATATATACTTGGCCTCCACTCTTCGTTTCGCCTCCGATAATCGCACAGAATGTGCCTAATAGTTCTTCATGACATAATTATAGAGGTTTATATTTGATTTCTCTGAAAAGATAAGAAGTAGTACGTATAGGGGAAGGTAAAGGTACCGAAAAGGATGAATAATAAATTAAACCCATAATATAATACCTATAATACGCAGTCTCCTTTGACAGGCGGTAAAGTTTGACTGGACTTGGTTTCAATTTTGTTGGGGTCTTTGGTTCTCATTGAAAGAGTTGCATGGACGTTGACGTTCTGGTTTGGCACCATTTCTTTCTGTATAGTCGATACATAGGAGAATGGCATACAGCGCGATTTGTATATTGTGAAACATTGGACTGCTGGTTGAAAAGACAGTAGTTCTCAAAGGGATAAACGCATCAGTGATTTTTTAATTTCCTTCAAAACATGAGCAGTGGTCTACGTTTTGTAAAGAGTCTTAAAATTTATTGCACTTCCGTGTAATGGAAAAATTATGCAAATCAGGTCGGAGGAGTGACCTTTAACGTCCATTTTGCCCCCAAAAAAACTTAAAACTGTGAAAATCTACTAAAGGAAAAAAAACTTAAGTAAGAAATGGCACAATTCTAAAATCAAAGATACTACTACCAAACATGTCACTTACAAGTTAGGGTCTGTTTACATGGAGGTTGGGGGACCAGGTGGGTGATGTAACCCGCTTAGGTGGGGTAACCCGCCTGTCTATATAATCTCTCATTTTAATTTGATCACGTTTACATGATAGGTGGGGTGACCCCACACATGTTACCTCACCTATCTGTGGTCCTCCACCTCGATGTAAACAGGCCTTTAGTTAACGACAACGACATCTGTGCCCAGGCCTTCAAAAATATTTATTGAAAGTTCCAAAGCGGTCGCGCTGCCGCCATGAAGGATGGATCCCCCCTGGTAACTTTTGTAAGGACTTTTTTGAAAGTCTAGGCCCGTCCACAAAAATGTTCTACAAATCCACTAGTATTAACACTGTGAAGATAACTGTAACTTCCAAAGAGTACATATATTAAATTGAATATTAGCTAAAAATAGTCTTAATAGCGATACTCGCGCTGACGTCACCAACTGATATTAATGGGCCAAACAGAAGCGCATTAGCTCTTGTAAAAAAAACCATTCTTCTGTTTCACTCGTTTTACATTTGAATAACAAAAACAATGGTTGTAAACAGTAATGTCTCCTATGGGTCACGTGACAATGAAGGACTCCAATCAACACAATAGTCATTGAACTTATACCTACGAACTCTGTCCGAGACGGGAGAATTACACAATAGCTAGCATTTCTGCATACTATATTTCAAATGCATTGTTAGTTACTGCAGCTGTTCACTTGAAAATGAAACTAGGAGACAATACGCCTGAATAATGATGAGACGCTCTCATGCTCACTTGTAAACACGAAATTTCCTACAAAAAATAGCGAATTGTAGCCCCTATTTTACTGCCTTACAAGTTATCAATAATCTTGAAGCTCAAAGGTCACATAGAATAACGGTACGTTAATCTCGAATCTCAAATATAAAAAAAAATTCAACGCGCGGTTTCAAAATCATTCACTTCTTTCTCAAAGTACACCAAATGTTTACGAAACCGCTAATAAGAGCATATCGATACATACTAATCAAATCCTTCTTTCTTTTTTTGCATTTCAAAAACACTTGATTTTCTATAGATAAAGACCGAATATCAAGATTGTGCAGTTTTTACCGTATTTAACTGGAAAAACATCATCCCAAAATACCTCCATGACGCTCTTATAAATTTCATGAACATCGAGTCGGCTATATGGAGGAAAAAGCTCCAATGAACGATTTTGGAAGAAGAGTTCCTAGTGGCCGGTTCAGTGTAAATCGTTCTGCGAAGAATACGGTGTTTACTGATGAAACTTTGTGCGTTTAATCCTATTCCTTGATCAGCGGCCGCTTAAAATTCAATTACAAAGGAAAAGAGAACGCTGAAAACCCTGGTACTGAATCGAGGAGCGAACACCCTGGCTCAGGGAAGAAATCCACGTATGCTCGCTCTACTGTTAGGCCCCCAGCAACAACTCAACAAACGCAATGGAGAGGAGGAGTGTGACGTCGTGTTACCAGGGTAACAACATTTGTGGATCACAACAACAGGGACTTTAAGCAACGACGACGGCGGCGACGGCAACAAGAAGGGGAAAAAAGCAATAGATTTATATCGGCAAAACAACAACTATGAAATCAACGTGGATTACGCCGCTTTTTTCGTAGCCGTCGAAGCACGACTGCGACATGAAACTAAGGACCTGTTTACGTGAAAGTGGGGGGCCCCAGGGAGGTGAGACAACCCGCGGCCGGTCACCCCACCTATTATGTAATCGTGATCAAATGAAAATGAGAGATTACCTCCCCAAAGCGGGTTACCTTACCTATCTGTTGTCCCCCATCTCTATGTAAACAGGCCTTTATTTTCACACGCCCCCGCTTTATGGAGTAGGTAAACACAACACAAAAATTTTCTTTTCTTTTTCTCAACTTAAGTAAGTCCTTTCGGGATAAACTCCAGAAAATTTCGCCAAAATTTGACAAATTAAATAGAATCCGAAACCCATAAGGGGGTGAAACGTGTAAGTCTCATATGTTTGCTTTGTCCGAGGCTCGTGATTATCTATTTTCGAAAGTACCATATTTAGAACGAGAATAAGAAATAACTGGCCTATCAAAATTCGTAAACGACGTGACGTAATTATACTTCCCCGATCATTTTTTCATATTTCGCGTGATCATGATTTTTTTTTTCTTAGCGTTGTAGATTCGAATACGTATGATAAAATTCGAACAATAAGGGCCCGACTCACGTGTAATAATGCAAGAAATATCGACCTTCGTTATCTTTAATGCTACTAGTACAGATAGACAAACAAGAAGACTTCATACCTTAAAGACTTTTTGCATTTATTTGGCATCAGATAATACACTAATAATTCTAGTATATTCCAACCAAATGACCTCTGAAGCCCAAACCCACACATAGTGCGCTTGGGCTGCCTGTGGTACTACCTGTAGCAGTAAAATGACGCCATCGTGCAAATGGCCTATTTGTGACAGTTTCCTTTAGTATTCATTTCGCGGCTTTTTGAACCTGCCGCAGGCAAAAATGCTGTGGCATCTCAAAACAATAATCTTTCATTAAAGCCATTGATTGTCCCACTTCCTTAAGTGATATGATGATTTTGTTTCTTTTACTCCTTTGAGAACTGCGACTTTGTGAAGAAATACTCGGACACTGCCCTCCATGTCTACTATGCAGGTGACTTCGGGATAAGGGGATGTGACAACTGCGCCAGTCGCTGGTATTTCACCTTCAATGGCGCTTAGTGCAGCTCTCCTGGATCTGTTGAGGGTGCAGTTTACATGTACAGGCGGTACAGAAATCGAAGTCTCCACCGTCACCGCCACATCGAAGGTCATTGTAACAACATCCAGAGAGGAAAGGTGCGAGTGGGATTCTGGGTTGGAAAGTGTAAAGGAGAAAAGCTTGCTGATGCCTACACTGGGTGGCAGACAGTGAGTCGTATATTCATTGAAGAAGTACCTAAAGCTCAGCAGTAGACCTCTGTCTTGAGATCATATAGACTTAAATTTTAAAACGGTGTTCGAAATAGTGTGTGTCAACGCTTGCCTTTACTTTTTTCTGGGTGATAATGCGCGGAATAGCAATGGTTTTATATCTATCCTTTATAAGCTAAGAATAAAGTTCAGCAGCATGAGATCTCAGATACTCTTCTATCTCTTTGTATCAAAATATGTTCAATACAAGCTAAAGAGAATGAGCCAGTTCATAATCTCTTGATACAAGATACCCTTCTCTAATATTTTGAATCATCCTAAATTTTTTTCTATTCATTTCCCTCTTCATTGATCAATATCAAAAAAGTTCATTTCCAGAGGAGTTTCTTTCAGCTTCTAGTCAATGGCTAGATAACAGCGACCTTTAGATTCTAGGACGAGAACGACTAAGAGTAAGAGATTTAACTTAATGTTTTTTTTTTCGCGTATTCTCACGCACTCTTATCTTGATTGAAGGAGGTTAAGCTATCTCCCAGCCGAAAAAGAAAAGAAAAGAAAACCTGTGACACTTCATAACTTGTGTCCACTAACACGACATTCTCGCTAAAACTCGTTGCAGAATGACCATGGTTATCATATTTTCCCGCCACACTGACGCTGGTTTACGCGCGCTTATAACTACTTAGTATTGAGAAAATCTCGTACTCGTAGTCGTACTCGTCTTAGAATCTAAAGGTCTCGAATAAACTTAAATGAATCGATCTGATCAACCAATCGAGTGGGTCATTTCCATCCTACGCGATATCTGTCGCATTTGCCCAATGGAATTTTGTATTGCATGCCGCTAAAAAAAATAATAACGCAGCGAAATAATTTGTGTCTTTGAAGCAAAATAATTCGGAAGGCTTCATTGGCGCACCATAATTTTTTTTAGCTTTAAAAAGAGACCAAATATAAGTCTGTATGTTGAGTATTCGAGGACTTTAATATGATTTTTCGAGGATTTTAGTAAGACCACTAAATGTTACGCAAAATGACTTGTGCGAATTACTTGGACTAAAATCAATATCTCGAAAAATTTGCTGCGTCAAGTCGGGATTTCAAATTCTTAATGCCGTAGAACAGTTTAGTTCACTATTTTCAAAAGACCAATTAACGCAAAGAGCACACATACACCAAACCCATGATCCGCCTTCCTGCGCATGTCGTGGGAGAACTGCGGGTGCGGTTCCCAGCCAACAGCTCCCACATGTGTTGTGTGGAGCTGGCTCTTCTCGCCTCGGCAGGAAAGGGTCGTTTATACACTTGTTTTCCCCGGTCACTGACCGACGACTTTGCCATGCTGATGAACCCCAGTAAGGGCGAAACAGCTGTCCATGGCAACCACTGCCCGCGTGATATGGCTGTGCGCATGCGTGAGGTAATCGCCTGGCCGTGGGTTGGTGTATGTGTGCCCCTTGCTTTAAGTTTGTTCTGTTTTCAATGCTATCGAATTAAGTTCAATCTATTTTTCATCAATTACTGTATTTCATGATATTTCCAAACAAATTTAACAGCGCGCGCGTTTTGGTAAAATCTTTGCTCGTTGGCACTTAGCGATAGCTATAACTGGTATAGATCTTAAAGATTTGCCATCTGAAGTTTCAAGGGCTAACTCAGAACACTTCTCTTTGATGTCCGTCGCCGGAATAGCTTTGTAATATTAGCGAGCAAAATAACGCACGATTGTCAAATCATCAACTCAGATATTTGCCGATAGAATTCCTAAATTAATGTTAATGTGAACGATTCTTTTTTGAAACTTTTGGAAGCTACTGGAAGTTAGAACTGCCGAATTTGTAAAGTCAGAATTAGCATCAGCGCCCTAGTTGTCAATACAGTCTTTCTTTCAAAAAGCCCGTTACCCGATTAAAAGAAGATTTTCTATACATTCTGTCTTTTAGAATTCACAGGACGTTTTGAATTTGTAAAGTCAGAATTAGCATCAGCGCCCTAGTTGTCAATACAGTCTTTCTTTCAAAAAGCCCGTTACCCGATTAAAAGAAGATTTTCTATACATTCTGTCTTTTAGAATTCACAGGACGTTTTGAATTTGCTTGAAAGCAACAATTAGATCGGTGTCGGATTAAATAGTTTCAAGACGATCAAGCAATGTAATCCGAACACAAACAAACAAAGACAACGCGATTTTTGTGCTAATTACTTCTCACAGGTCTCGCCGCAACAAATACGAAACTCCAAAGGTTATGTTTACTTTATGTCAGCTCAATGTTAGTTTGGAATTTTCAGCAACAGTCTCAATTGAGGCTTGTTCAGTACTTGACCATTTTTTTTCTTTAATGATATTTTCAGTACCAAAATTCCCTAAGAAGCTGCAGTAGATAAAAAAAAAAAAAGATTTGTTTTTGGCCGCCTGCAGCAAAGTTTCCCGGAAGGCATCATTAATTCTTATGAAGGAACAAGTCTCACGACTGGCAAAGTCTGCCGTCGTCCAATATGTAACCGTATTTCGTCTCATTTTGGCCAAACGGGTGAAACACTGATCTCGGGCTTGAGACGGAAAAGCATCATATTGACCATATTGCGAGCTTTGATGTGGGCGGTAACGAGTCTCTGACCTCAAAAAGCGAGGGCAAAATTGAAGCTGATTTCTGACCAGGCAAGAGACTTAGTCAAAAATGGTATTGAAGGCCGGCCTCTATGTGTCCCTTTCAAAACGGCTCATCTGCATCCGGGATCTTGAATAAATCGACTGTCAGCAAAGTTTACATGGAGAAAGCGAGAGTTATTGAGAGAGAGTAATTTGATGATATTTCGCCCGTATTAAGTCTGGAAACATTGTGCCTGGTTAGTTTTGGATAGTTTTATCAGTACCGCGAACGTGGTTAATTGTGTGATTTCCTGAAGTTGTTGACAGACAGATTTCAGGTATGTCGTGGCGCTCGTGTTATATGAATATTGTGTACAAGCATGAAAACGCTTTGTGAGTTTTGTCTTAGACAACCGATTGTGGGGTCAAGAAAGGTGGATTCCAAGTCTGTTTTAGTCGGGCATCTCGCTATGAGCCTCATAGTTTAAGAGACTGAAAGGTCATTATTTCTGTGTTTTTAAATGTTGTCCATTTCGTTATAAATCTGTCCCTTTTGCCAAGAGCAACTTTTCGTGTGTTGCCAGCGATTAATTTGTCCGTTTTAAGCCCTAACTAGCGACTTTCAACTGCCTTTTATTCACCTCAAGGGTCAAATTGTTAAAACGCACTTAAAATTTCTGTAGCTACCTCTTTATAAATCCAGACAGATATGTATTGGTATTTGTTTCTTTTATCATCTCTCAACAGCCCGGTGGCGGTGGGTACTCCCTATAACGGCCTATGCGCCTATGCGAAAGGCTCTGCCCGAAAGGGTTACCTTTTCCAGGCTTCGGGTTTATGAAAGGGTAGGGATTTCACTAGTTGAAGTTTATGAAAGGGTAAGGAAATCTGTCATTCCGGTCTGCGGAAAGAGGCCCAGAGGGGCTAACAGATGAATCTAAGGCCTAAGAAAAGTCGAGAAAACGTTCTGGGTTTGTGATTTGATCAATTTTAGAAGACAGTGCATTTACAGCAGTTAAAAGGGATGCATAGTTCTAATCTATGATATGAAAGCGGAACCACTCATCAACAGAAAGAAAATGAAAGGGTTAATTTTCCTGTCAAAAATGGTATATAAAAGGGTAAGGGTTAGCCTACCCGTAGCCGCACCCTTCCCCCTACTACCGCTAGTAAGGGAGTGGACCCCTGGGCGAAGCCTCCCCGAACAAAATTCTGTTAGGTAGCTGTTCGGCTTAAGTTTTTTTTTCTCTCGGCGGTAACATCATTCTCCTTCTAGGGATGCACTTGCCAAGGCACAGGGCTGATTTTTGCATTCGGTTGTACGTTGCCAGAAAATTATCTGTACATAAGTTTACAAGTGCCAAAGGGAACCTCCAAGACGGTCCTCCAAGTGGATAGCCGGAAATCCAAGTACACTAAAAAAAACACTGTCACGTATGTTGCACTAATCTGGATAATGGTAACATTTTTACGGTTAAGATTGATACATTAGGTGAAAAGAATCATGTGGCTGGGTAGGCAATTAGTTTTCGAGGTTATTGCTAACTTTTTATGAAAAACTGACAAAGGGACGCCCACGAGAAAGGAAGACGCGCGCGAGATAAAGAGACTGTTTTTATCATCGGCACCTGGGCGATGAAGTTTCTGGCGTGAAGTCACTGAGGGTGCTAAAAGGACTGGGATATCATGGCACTTATTGGTGGTGTATAGACCAAAGCAGGAGGAACTACAATGGCAAACCCACATCCACACAGCTAAACACCCTTGTACCCGAGGGAGTTCAGCTGTGCATCCATGCTCTGCTAGTGTTTTTTCAAAGGGTATCCGCTTGAGAGAAATATCTCTCCAAAGTCCAAACAAAGTTTACAATCCACTACTAATGACTACTAGCATAGAAGGGTTACATGGACTATTTGGAGGAAGAGAATTGTTCGCATATTGCCTTCATTCAAGGCCCCAGTTGGCCATCAGGAAGTTCACTCTGTTTTTAAAGAGGGATGGGATCGCAGAGCAACAAAGAAAGCTTGTTAATTCAGTTTTGTTGGAACACATGACCCTGAGCGAGTTGCCTGCGCTTATGTATAAGCCCAGTAGACATTAGCAGTAGTAAGGGGGGCCACTACGGTACAGACCAATCAGAAAGCCGGATTTAGGTCACGTGGTACAAATGGACCAATCAGCGTTCAGCAGTGATGACGTTGAGCTGTCAATCATCGATTTCCACGTACCACGTGCAGTTGTAGCCAATCAGGGCGTCGATGACGTCATGGGGTGGGGTGACGTCATGGGGGTGATGACGTCATAGGGGTGATGACGTGTTGTAAAAGTGACTTCATGGGTGGACCTTGGGTGGTTTGTTACCCAAACTCTAACCCTAAGGGCTCTTATATATCAAGACGAACGTGAATTCGCGTCCATGTGGGAACCCTAAGAGATAATTCATGCCAAAGGGCCAGTCATCTTCCCAGTGTTAAATGATGCCACAGCGAGACCTG